CTTAATGACGATGTTAAATCGCTCACGTCTTCTATCGAAGATTGCCTAATATTTGCGAAAAAAGCGTTCTATATGACCTTCCAATAAATCTAGCTAATTTTGTAGCATTCATTGCAATAAGTCTCCATTTAACCACTTTTCATTGACTTATAACGAGTCTTTACCTTTTTTCAAGATGTGATTATGAAATGATATTAATATCAATTGTATCTCAATTTTTGTCTGCACCATTTTTTGTTCACATGTCACTTGCACTCACCGTTCTCATCCACGTTGTACTAGTCATTATTTTGGAGGAAATAAAGATACGATGAACGATATGATGATTAGACTAGCTTTTTATTGTTCCCTACGATCGACACCCTGACAAACGAACTCTGCCCTGCGGGTAGATTTACCTGTGGGGATGAAAACTACCTTAGTGTACCTTTCATAGGTGTGAAACGTGAACAAAAGACCACAATTACCAGCGTGTAATTCGTCTAATCATAATTAATGATGTCTGTTAATTATGATGGCTTCAATCTACGTTTTGATTGCCATAGATGACCGACATTTACACTGAAATACATACACAGAAGTACAGACAGTAGCTTTGTATTCAGTGAAATGCCAAACATCTGCTGACCTACCTTTGCTGCATTGTTTTCGGCCATCATTTTTTAATGCTTGAAATAAGTAAGCCATATGAGAAGCTTTTTTCAACAATAAAACTGTCGATATAACTTTTAGATAACAGCAGACTGCACGTGGCGGCCATGTTGTTTTGGAACCTGAATAACCTTACGTAATCCGCGATGAGCGTTAATCATTTTGGCGCCAAAAATTATAAATAGCACAGGTCGTTTGCCCAGTTTTACAGTAACAATAAAATATTATTTTTACTGGATAATTACAATAATTCAATTTGATAACTATAACACTATTTAAGTTTACATTGAGAACAGCATTGTTGTGAAAGAAATCGTTTTTTTGTTAACTTAATGATAACAGGTAGCTACGCCTGGTTATAATACATTTCATAACTAAGGGATTTTCTAAAGATTAAATTTAAAAATAAATCATTGATTTTGAAATTAATTTATAATCTGTCAAAATAAATACCTTTGGTTGGAATGTTATTATGATTTATTTATTTTCAGACATATATATTCATTTATTATATTATTGGGAAAAAAATGCTGAAGTATTTGTTAATGTTATCCATTTTCTTGAGTCAGACTACTTTATTTGTAGTTATCAAAAAATAACCGATAAAGAAAAAGAAAAGGGCAAGAAAATGAGCAGTTTCGTTTGCGGAAAACCAGGGATCAGAATATTTCCTGGGGGGTTGTTGATCAAGATTCTGGCTTATTTACATGCACAAGGTGCCTTAGAGGCTTGGTAATTCGCATAAACCTACTGGTGTTGGACAGGTTCAAAACTTGAAATGTTATGGTTACAATTTTCAGAAGGTGTGTAACGAACCAAACTGCTTTTACAGTCATTGTTGTTTGAAGTGTTCAGGAAACCATCCGAGTGTCAATTGTTTAATGAAGAGCATACACAATAATTGAGAATGAGAAAACTGAGGGGCCTGTGCAAATACGGGTATTTTGGGGTTTGGAAGTTAATACATTGGATATGACAGTCAGAATTCCCCAAGCCAAACTGGTTGAGTTCAAAGCAAAACTTTTATCTTTGAGTGTTCCCACAGGCAATTTTGTGGTTAAGAAAATATTGCGGGGCATTCTCGTTTGAATAAGAAATCAGACTCTCGTTTACCAATCACACCAGATATTCTGGTTAACATTCTTCACTCCTTCCCTGCAATATGTTTTTCAGTGTACGATACCAAACTTTTTTCAGCGATAATGTTAGGCTGTTGTGCAATGATTCATTGCTGCAGTTTGGGTTACCCAATTCTAAGACAGACCAAGAAGGTTAGTAAAGTGGTGGTTTCCATCGGGCGCATCACCCTGTCCGGTTAAACGAGTCGAAGACTACTTGTCAGTCCGCCCAGAAGTTGGGGTCCATTGTTTTGTCATTTCGGGGGCAAACCGTTCACTAGATACCAGTTTAATTCGGTTTTCCACAGGTGTCTTGCATTATCAGGGTTTAAAATGTGGTTAATATTTGCAGTAAATACCAATTCAGTGGTTGACAGACTACAGTGCATTGGTAATTGTGGCATTGGCTGCTTCCATCTCTGCTTAGAGAAAGGGGGTATTTTGGACTCGTTCACGGCAGGGATTTTCCTGAAAATGTGTTTGTTATGCAGTGATTTTCCTGCAATTTTGAGAATTTGTTTGCTAAGTTTTGTGGCTATGAGCAATTATTCCTTGCTAATTTGACATTAAATGGGGGTTACTTTCTGGCCAAACTTTGCCCATTAAAATGTTTTTCACATTTATTGAAATTGGTTTAGTGTTACAAGTCAATTTGCAGTTTTGCAAAAAAATTGAATGAGATAATTTCTGGTGGCGGTGCCAAGTACCGAGACAGAACTGTAGGAGCGACAGCATGCATTTTACTTCTATTTGCGGTCCTTGTCATGTGGCGGGTTAGAGGTTGCCACCAGGAATAACAAGTATGTAGTGTTTATTTTTCTTTAAATTACAGCTTTTCAAAATGACGGCTGCCCACAGAGTCATTTCTTTAAAAAGCTTATTGACAGATCTTGTCACACATTTATCTAATTTATTTGAGGTGTCCCCAAGCCCAATTTTGATGATGAAGCCATGTCCACAATCGCCAAACATAGCATAAAGACAACATATTTATCACAGTTTATTTGCTTTTGTATAGGGTTATTCATAATTGTTGAAAGAATATTAAAACAATGTGAACTGAATTTTTGATTGTTTGTTATCTCTGATAATGGGATTAATTTGATAATGAATAAATCTGTTTATCAGAGTACAAAGATATTTGGTGTTGTTGTGCCTTATTACCAGATCCTGAGTTGTCGTCCTTTTCCAATACCATAGCTAAGAGTTATCTCCCCTTATCACACACAATCTCCACAGACCCTGCCAGGTGCTGTACGAGAGCGGTTCAGAAAATACTGTACCCTGTACTTTGTACCCGGTACCATGTACCCCGTACCCCGTACCCTGTACCTTGTACCCCGTATCCTGTACCCCGTACCCTGTACCTTGTACCCCGTATCCTGTACCCCGTACCCTGTATCTTGTACCCCGTATCCTGTACCCCGTACCCTGTACCTTGTACCCCGTATCCTGTACCCCGTACCCTGTATCCCGTTCCCTGTACTTTCACAGCACAATACATTCAATACGATGTGTATTTCGATACACATATCTGTTTTAAAATTAAGTTTCGCAATACACGTGTTCAGATATTTTACAGAGATGTTATAACTTTACGATGTCAAAAGTAATTACAGTTCAAATATATCTATGTTCGAGCTGTTGTACGTATTTTGTATCACTGCAAAGTGGATAACATTATTTCTGGTGTATAAAAAGGAATAAGTGAACTCACAAATCGAATTTATTTAAGAATTGATTGATAATACCCGAATTGTGAAGGTATTTCCCTTTGCAGACAAACAAAATGGTTTGCTACAATACACAACAAAGTCTTGAACGATTCAATAAATTATTTCAGTCTACGCTTTACCCTGTACCCTGTACCTCGTACTCTGTTCATGTACCCTGTAGCCTGTAGCCTGTAGCCTGTACCCAGTATCTGTACCCTGTACCCCGTTACCTGTACATTCGATACGATATTTATCTTGATACACATATCTACTTTAAAAGTAAACACAGTATATGTTTCCGGATTTTATACAGATGTCATAGCTTTACGATGTAAATAGTAAATACTGTTCAAATATAACTTTGTTCGAACTGTTTTACGTATTTTGTATCACTGCAGAGTATTGAAGCATTGATGGATACTATATGTGAAAGTGTGTCCCTATGCAGACAAACTAGTTTGCTATGATACACAACAAAGATTCACAAAGATGACTGTTTCAGTTTACCTTGTACCCCGTACCCCGTACCCTGTGCCATGTTATTATACATTCCACGATACCATACTCATCACAGCACAATGGCTATGGTACGATAGAATCTTCATACACATAAATGCATTAAGAAGTCTGCTTCATAATGACTATATGGAGGATTTTGTAAAGTTTAGTTATAGCTTTAATAAGTAAATACTGTAAGTTTTAGAATGTTTTGTGTATTACAGCACAAAGGATACAATCTTCATTGAAAAATGAAAAAGGGTAAGTTAGCTTAAGTGGAATAAAATTAGAAATTGATAGATGATATAAGTCAGCCCTGTGAGTATATCACGATACAGTCCAACACAATATGTTGATCCAATCATAATAGAAAACACGAGAAAACTATGATAGATAAACACCAATACAACGCAAAAAAATAACAGCCATACACAAATATGACAAACATACAGATTTAACAAGATGAGCATTCATTGTATAGCCGTTAGCTCGTCATCCTCGATATCCAGGGGTTACGCTCACTTTCGCTCTCTACACCCCTGGAATATGTAAAACTAATATTGAATCTAACCCATACTAGCGCGTTGACGCTGGGCAAATCGGTGCGAAAATAACAACAGTTTACATACCAATAAAAGACACCCTGAATAGGTAAACGTTTCTGTTGTCATCAACAATATTTCAAAAACACGATTTCTATTTAAACGGCAAAAGAGTGACTTTGAATATATCGCTTAATTTTATTTGTGGACACAACTTTTATATGTGCACAGGTGAAAGTAATAGTTGACAATTCTTTTACCAATTACCTGTGGCTACCAACCTTGACCGGCAGGGTTTGTTAATAGTCCGTTGTATTGACCAATGGTCTAATAGTAAAAGCCGTCTTATAGAAATCCGTCTCGCAATGTGTTAAGCAATCTAACTATCCAGTACACAAATACACTTTGAGATATATCTAAATAAATCTTTTTAGAGTCACGCTTGTCGCAGTGACCGGTATAAAAGCTTGACCGTCCTCCAAAACTGACCATCGGATCCCATGCTATCATCATGAAGGGTGTGTGTACATTTCTTCTCCTTTTCGGGCTGGTCATCGGGAGTCTGGCCAACAGTAAAAGTGTAAGTACACAAATGTATATTATATTTGACTTATCATAATATTCATGATTTGAATTTTGTCTTCATGACGTCTGCAATCTAACCATTCCGTGTACACAAGTTATTTCCTGTGTAACTGGTCATGTACTACCCTTTATTATGTAGTACTAATGTTCACATATACTTTCATAATAACGGGAGCCGAAATTTTGAGTATAAGATTTTCTTTTTTAAAATAAAAAAATAAAATCAGCCTCCATTTTTCACAAATATCGGTACAGCTGCCTAAAATTTATCATCGATGAACAAACACAAAGTTTACGATAGACTATTAATGTGTTAAATGTCTTTTACTATGTACGAAAATATATCATATTCTGAGATCTTATTTCAATGAAAAACTGACTCTAAAATAAAATGCATGACGTCAGTTAGCAATTTAATTGTTTAACGGTCCAGCAACGCCGAAGTCATAGCGGGCCTGGTAGTTCATAACTAGGGACAACTCCAAACCTATCGGGAACCATCGGCATTTTCCGTGAACGAACGGAAATGCCGACGGTTCCCGATGGTTACAAAACTTGATACACTAACAAAGTGACTTGAATGGTAAAATTTAAAATTTGTATACATTAGTACGCAGCAAAATGGTCAGATTTTATTATAACAAGTGTTTTCCAAATTTCCAAATTGATGGTATAGGCCAATTTTACACAGATATTTGAAACTCTTTGACAAATTAAGTGTATGCAACAATATACAGGATCGTCGAATGCTTTGTCTCGAATTTGGCTATAATTGGCATATTCGACCAACAGTCATATGTTCGTTACACGAATGGCAAAAGGGCTGATCCTCTCGCCGAAGTAAGTACGCATGCGTAAAAGGACGACCCCCTTGCTACGGTCTTCTCTGATAGGGGTTGAAATGCAATAGAAATATTGCTAATATTATCCGACAGTCTTCACTGCCAGTTACGTTTGATTCAACTGGTAACATCAGGTTTAGAATCAGGATAAGATGTTGTTTATTTGCAGGTTTAGTGCTGGTTTTTTGCAGCTTTGTCGACCAAATCGCTTCTTCGATTTCCAACATGACTTGGAACCCATAGACGCCATATATATTAAAGTATTCTGCAACGATGTGCAATGAAGATTAAGCTGCCCCATGTGACTGTTATTCAAAGCGTGTCGTCAGAAAATCATATATTTCAGGAATAAGCAGTATTATTTTAGGGGTTTCACGGCATATACCGAAAGAACTGTGTGCTCTATTGTGACCGAAAAAAACCTGCACTTTTGTGACCTCAAAAAACGGTTTGCACAAAAAATGTGTACTGCACACAGTGTGCAAAGTGCACACAGTTTTCGGTATATACCGTATAACCATATAAAACAAAAACATGAACATCCCTCATGATTTAATCCGAAAGAAAGACTAAACATTGATCTAAAGATTATTTATTAGCTTCTGATAAAAGCAAAATAACTTTGCACGAAACACAAAACTGCGCAGTAATTTCATCGCCGAGCAACGTTAACTATTCAGAAGTTAGAATTACAAATACAGCCAGAAACATTGCGGTTATATGACGTCAGCAATGTCAGAATAGCATAAATTAAAGTATTCAACGGTTACCTGCAAGCTATATTAAATTGGTTTAACCCTTGTTAATCTTTCGGTGATAGCATAAGTAGCGCTAAAATGTGACTTTCACATTCATGTTCGGATTGTAAATAACACAAGAAGGAGGATTGTAGTTATGATATATAGCTATTATCATGTTTAAGCTCTATCCATCAGGCACTACAGTACCGGAAATGTCGATTCCGCCATGGAACATATGTACATTTGACGAGGAACAGCTTTTAAATTACAATGGACAGCATATACCGTAGGTACATGTCTACCTAAATGTAAGAGTAGCTGTCCACAGGAATTTAAAGGTGTTCTCCGTCGTATGTACATAATTATGTTCCCCGACGGAATCGACGTACCCGGTAGTACCCGGTGTGTATACTCTCCTGTAAATGGTATATAATTAGTTCTTGAGCGGGTGTTACCTTGTGGTCCTGTGTAGTGGCGATTTCAAACCTGTTACATATGTCCATTGCTATTATTAGCAAACAAAAAGAAAGGTAGAAAAACCAGTTTATTATCCTTCAACTGAAACTATTTACACTGCAAATTGGCCGTTTCAGTCACTGTGATTGAACGGTGGAATTAAAGTATATCCCTTTTGAATTGATTTGAGAATGGAACGGCTTTTAGCAGGTAATAACAATGTCGTGAGTTTATAAGCCCTCAGGTTACAGTAAGTAAGGCCAACTGACTGATTTGGTGTAATAACGGGAACAGTTAGCACATTGTTATCGTTGATTCACGTTGAAATAGCAATATATACACACGAAGCAACGACTAAATGACATCAAATTCGTTGAATAAATACAGTTAAAAGGACAATTTGTACTGTACAGGTAAAAGATTATTATGATGCATTGTATCTAATTGTTTGGCCTGGTCAAGTAGCAAGATTGACTTTCCTTTACGAAAATTGACCGTGTTACCTGGTCTGGGCTGCGTTAAGAAAGAACATTCTGGAATGCTTCCAAATAGCAGCCAAGTAAAACAATGAACATCTTATGTTATAATCGATTTTGAATCCGGAAATGCGTACTTCTACACGGATTATATAAATAATTCAAATTACTTAAACAGTGATTATTCTTTTCAGAAAGCAAAACACGCCTTTGTTAAATTTTAGCTTATTTTGAGGATTAATATTCCGTCGAAACGTTTCGCTGTCAGATCGAGGCATAAGCGTACTTTCATAAAGGTGTTGTAATTTTGGTGTGTACTCACCGTCACTACATGGAGTATGGAGCTACTCTCAGTTCCCAAAATCAGGTACAATGTGGAGGAAAAGCACGCACGTGTTATCTTGTTGAGATCTTGATGTAAAGAGACCGTGCCCAGATGTCACATCAATGTTATCGGCTCGGTCAGCAGTCTAAGGGAGATAACTCTCCCAAAATTCACTTGCAAGTTTCCTTACAGCCGTTATGCTCTGTTTTCCATAATAATATTTTTTGACGATGAAGTCCATTCATGAAAAGCTTGATATATTATAGGATGTTATTTGTAAGACACCGTCGTTAAAATGACGCATAGTTATATGTTAGCTTCTAGAACAGGAGTTCAAATTTCTATCAATATAACAAGGGAATAACCATTAATTACATACTTTGAAATTTTCGGCGGTTTATCGCGATTACTGTCGCAAATTGAGTTTTACTATCGACGCGGGGTCTCTCGGTGTCAATGACGTCATATGCAAATGAGAAATTTGCGGACGATACATTGTGGTGGTGCCATCGCAAATTATTTCGATTGACCAATCAAATGCTGTGTTACATCTCAAATGAATAAGAATGTGAATTTAGTAGCTGCGTACCAATTTAGAGCCTGTACCAAGGGGAATTCCCCTGGTGAGCATCTACAGAGGAGAAAGAGGAGAAAGCGCTAGGGAAGTCGAAGAAACTCTTGTCTTTTATTTATATATATATATATATACTTCTACCGAGCTCCCGACCACATTGACAGAAATGCAGCTGCCTGTGCTCCTTGTAACGTTCGCATATGATACCGTCTAATCGCGTGTTAATGATACACATATATATTGCACGAATAAACATATCTTGTGACGCCCTGATTACATTTTCTCCCACAACCACCACAGGTTTTCTCACTCCCGACTCATTGGATAAACCTTCTAGGCGTAAGATAACATTTTGGTTACCCACTAGTGGGTAATACTCTCGACGCGATTTCGTTAGTCAGTATTCTTATTATGACGTTTAAGTATCATTGCTTTGTGACGTCATCTTCCATGGTGTAAACCTCGTGTCTTTATTAACTAACTCGAGATAGATGAACATGATAATCAAACATTGTCCTTTCGAAAACCTCTATTTCTATGATTGGTTTTCATTATATCGCATCAACAACTTTAGACGTCTTTTGGTTTTTTATATTGCAGCAACTGAAACACGCTTTGGAACTAGTTGCAGATAAAGCAAGATTAGAAAAAGGTAATATTCAATTTTTGTGACCTCTGGAAATTCAACATATTTGAAGGATACCCGTATCACTGCCAAAAACTCTAACTATTAATGAGCAAGCTAGTGTTAAGTTGACATTCTCTCATCACGTTAAATATCAAGCTGTTTAGTTGTCATTCTCTCATCAAGTTAAACAGCAAGCTAGTGTTTAGTTGCCATTCTCTCATCACGTTAAATATCAAGCTGTTTAGATGTCATTCTCTCATCACGTTAATCAACAAACTGTTTAATTACCATTCTCTCACCTAGTTAAACAGTTGGCTAGTGTTTAGTTGCCATTCTCTCGTCACGTTAAACAACAAGCTGTTTAGTTGTCGTTCTCTCATCAAGTTAAACAACAAGCTGTTTAGTTGTCATTCTCTCAACACGTTAAACAACAAGCTGTTTAGTTGTCATTCTCTCAACACGTTAAACAACAAGCTGTTTAGTTGTCATTCTCTCATCAAGTTAAACAACAAGCTTTTTAGTTGTCATTCTTTCATCAAGTCAAACAGCAAGCTAGTGTTTAGTTGCCATTCTCTCATCACGTTAAAAAACAAGCTGTTTAGTTGCCTTTCTCTCACCAAGTTAAACAGCTGGCTATTGTTTAGTTGCAATTCTCTCATCAAGTTAAACAGTTGGCTATTGTTTAGTTGCCATTCTCTCATCAAGTTAAACAACATGCTAGTGTTTAGTTGTCATTCTCTCATCAGGTTAAACAACAAGCTGTTCAGTTGTCATTCTATCATCAAGTTAAACAACAAGCAAGTGTTTAGTTGTCATTCTCTCATCAGGTTAAACAACAAGCTGTTCAGTTGCCATTCTATCATCAAGTTAAACAACAAGCTAGTGTTTAGTTGTCATTCTCTCATCAGGTTAAACAACAAGCTGTTCAGTTGTCATTCTATCATTAAGTTAAACAACAAGCTAGTGTTTAGTTGTCATTCTCTCATCAAGTTAAACAGTTGGCTATTGTTTAGTTGCCATTCTCTCATCAAGTTAAACAACAAGCTGTTCAGTTGTCATTCTATCATTAAGTTAAACAACTAGCTAGTGTTTAGTTGTCATTCTCTCATCAGGTTAAACAACAAGCTGTTTAGTTGTCATTCTCTCATCAAGTTAAACAGTTGGCTATTGTTTTGTTGACATTCTCTCATCAAGTCAAACAGTTGGCTAGGGTTTAGTTGTCATTCTTTCATCAAGTTCAACAGTTGGTTAGTGTTTAGGTGTCATTCTCTCATCAAGGTAAATATCAAGCTAGTTTTTGTAGTTGCCATTCGCCCATCAAGTTAAATAGCAAGCAAATGTTAAGTTGTCTGGGTCATTCTCGTTTCAGTATCGTATTCAAAGACGTATAACGTTATCCCGTTATATATAGATAGTAAACTAGCTTACAGGGTGCCCGTTTTTTCACTGATTACCCTATAATACATGTATACCCGATACCGTTTTCATATACTCTCCACATTGCAGAGCTGCAAGGTGTAACAGTGCAGGAAATCCGTGACAAAACTAAGCGACTGAATGATGACTTTACCGATGCTTTGGGTCTGGCCAAACAAATTGCTGAACTTAACGGTACGTGTTCGTGTATATATTATTATACATTCTGTTAGCAAAGTATAAGTTCTTATATATATAAGTAATGTTTCTCGAATGAATATTGTTCATTTTTTAATTTACATATACTTGCAACACTGCAACATTGACAGATTTCAAACAGATCAGGATTCTGGAAAAAAAGATCATGCTGCTTCTTGAGTCAATAACTAACACGTATAACAATAAAGTTTAGTAAAGAAAAAATTAAAGGTTTACGTACTTTTTTTATAGGTATCCTGGATGAATCGATGATCCTCAAACCAGAGTTTGAATCATTATCAGCACAAATCGAATCAATATTTTTTGATGTCGAGATGGATGTTAACAAACTGCCAGGTAAGATGCATACCATGTAAATAGTAAACGTGTACACTCAAGTACATTCTGATGTACTCATATCTTATATAGTGTAAGATTAGTTAAGTATTTTCATGTATTTATCAATAGGTACCAAGTTATCAGTGTCGCAGTATCTACATTTCCGCTGCAAATCCGTATACGAACACTTCTAGATGAAATTGAGTTCAAAGTACTATGAACGCAATTGAACCAGCATCAATTTGGCGCGTTTCTCCCGTCTCAAATAGGATGTGGCAACCATTTAGGTGACTCAATGCTGTTACGGGAATATAATAATGATAGCAATAGTAATTCGAGGTTCCTATATACCGCTTCATCACAACCTAGTTCGAAGGTCGTCTCAAAGCGGTTCACAAATTATTATCCGTGGTTACTTTATCAACTCTCTGGGGAGCATATAGCCGGAGCTGCCATTTCGGAGCTAACAGCTAGCATTCAACATTCTAGCACTGCCCAACCACGTACTCATTTACAGCTGAGTAGACTGGAACACAGTGCCGTGCCGTGACTCGAACCCGCAACCCTTCGGTCACGAGCCCGGCGTCCTACTACTAGACTACCGTATCGATTGCATTAACTATACAATAAGTGAATTGCAATGTATCCCGATTTCTCTATTGACACATCAATAACTGTCGACACATTCATAATAACGCTAATACTTTATGGCGTTATAACCTTCAAGTTGCATTGTGACGTCGTGAAAAAACATCCTTGTTTTCGATCTTCTCTAACTCTCTTAGAATATGCCATGACACCATTGCATTGCAGACTTTGTACGCGCCATCTTGTACATGAAACAAGTAGACTTGTCTGATCCTTTGATGTACACTAACAGAATCTCGAGGACGCGTAACAGTAAAATGGAACGGCCTTGCAGTCTGGTGTCGCTCCTTTTTGCAATCTTTAATGAACAGTAATCAGCCTAACGATAGGCATGTTTTTATCATATCTGCTACCTATCAAATCGCTTACCACGAGCTTTCAGTTTTATCATTGTATGTTTAAAGGGTGTAAAGAAGTTATGAAAATCTATAGCGGAGAATCCGGGATTCTGAAGATGCATAAAAGAGTGTTTGGAGTCAAAAACTTAAAATGTTAGATTTCAAGCCAGCAAGAAGGTTTGAAAAATATCTTGGTTAAAGGATGTAACCAAACATTCGTTTTCATGTCACATGATATATTGAAAGTCGTCACGATGTGTAATCGTAGTTTGTAAGAAGCTTGTTAAAATATCTTAAAAGATTAACTTTATATGAAATCGAAATTCGTGTAACTTTGATATCACTAATACTTAAATATGAAAGACGTTTTGCAAGGCCACGCAAACTATTTTTTTTTTTTTAAACCTCCATAAAACATAAGTTGAGTGCTCTCAGGATATTTTCTGATGATCGTTCTACACATAGGTTTTCAATCTGAATATTAATGGTAATATTTCAACTTGAACATCTGTTGGAACAGTTTATTTAAACAGTTAGACCTATCTCAGCATTGCATTTATCAAATTGTTCAGGGAAGTTTGCGGAATCATGTTCATTCATGCAAGAAAAGTAAATAGAGGCAACAAGGAATCGATATGCAAAGTGCATTTTAATTTAGAATAAAAGGTATTTCACGTCATTAATTTATTAACGTTTTTACATTTTAGACATCGTCGACGACATAGATGACTGGACATTCCTTGACCAGTGTGTAGAAGGTTCGTTTCATACATATTCTTAATGTAGCATTCCTTTCTGTTCATTCACTTAACCTTATGTGCCGTTATATCGTGCGATGTATACAACACTTGTATCTGTATATTATCAGTACATCACCAGTATATTATTAGTAAATAACCAGTATATTATCAGTACATAACCAGTATACTATTAGTAAATAACGAGTATTACATACAGTATTAGTACATAACCAGTTTATTACAGTATCAGTACATAACCAGTTTATTATCAGTACATTACCAGTATATCATCAGTACATTACCAGAATAATAGCAATACATTACCGGTACATTACCAGTAAATTATCAGTACATAACCAGTTTATTATCAGTACAGTACGAGTATATCATCAGTACATAACCAGTAAATTATGAGTACATTACCAGTATATTATCAGTCGGTACCAGTATAATAGCAGTACATTACCAGTATATCATCAGTATATAACCAGTATAGTATCAGTACATTACCAGTATAGCATCAGTACATTACCGGAATATTACCAGCATATTATCAGTTCATTACCAGTATATTATCAGTACATTATCATTACACGTTCAGTATATCATTAGTACATTACCAGTATATTATCAGTACATAACCAGCAAATTATGAGTACATTACCAGTATATTATCAGTCGGTACCAGTATAATAGCAGTACATTACCAGTATAGCATCAGTACATTACCGGAATGTTACCAGTATAGCATCAGTACATTACCGGAATATTACCAGTATAGCATCAGTGCATTACCGGAATATTACCAGTATATTATCAGTTCCTTACCAGTATATTATCAGTTCCTTACCAGTATGTTATCAATATAGTACCAGTATAATATAGTATATAACAAGTACATTACTGGCATCTCATCAATGCATTATCGGCACATTATCAGGACTACTTACATTTCGGTAAATTATCAGTATAACAAACTTGCATTATTTATGCATTATCAATACATTCCAGCAAACAAGTACATTATTATCATATGAAAGTGCATTATCACTATATCATCAGTACATTATCAGTATATAATCTAACCAGTATTAGTACATAATCAGTACATCATCAGTATATAATCAGTATATTATCAGAACAGATAATCAGTACAATATCAATATAAAATCAGTACATTATCAGTATTTAATCTAACCAGTATTAGTACATAATCTGTACATCATAATCAGTATATTATCAGAACAAACAATCAGTATAATATCAATATAAAATCAGTATTGTATCAGTATATTATCATTATCAGTATATTTTCAGTACATTACTAGTATATCATCAGTACACTTTCAGTATATCATCAGTACATTATCAGTATATTATCAGTTCATTACCAGTAAATTATCAGTACATTATCATTATCAATAAATATTTCAGTACATAACCAGTATATTATCAGTACATAACCAGTATATTCTCAGTACATTATCAGTATATTATCAGTTCATTACTAGTAAATTATCAGTACATTATCATTATCAATAAATATTTAAGTACATAACCAGTATATAATCAGTACATAACCAGTATATTCTCAGTACATTATCAGTATATTATCAGTACATTACCAGTACATAATCAGTAAATTACGTGCATTTTAGTATCATTATCAGAATAATATGCTTGCATTATATATGAATTCCATTACACTAGTATATTATCGTTATATTTATGTGCATTATCAGTACATAATCAGTACATTATCAGTACATAAGTACATCATCAGTATCTAATCTGAACAGTATTATTATTTAACCAGTATATGTCAGTTAATAATCAGTACATTATCGGTAATTAATCAGCACATTATTAAAAAATCAGTACGTTATCAGTTTATAATCAGAAACGTATACGTATATAATCAGTACATTATCAGCAAATAATGAATATAAATTGGAATGAAAAGAATTTAGTTCAGTATTGTCTATTGTGTTATATCTACTATGTTTAATGAAATGAGACTGTTTGCTCTCAAAATACCACATGGTACAACTCTCAGCTTGAAGCGCGCAAGGATAACACATCCGCGTCATATCCAAGCGAATATATCGACAAAGTTTGGATTTTGATTAAATATTTCTATTGACAAAAAATAATCGTATTCAGAAGTTTCGTTAAACGATTTTTAATATCGTCATTCACAATACTGTAGGATTTACTTTGATGACGCATTGGAAAAAATACACAAGTATTGGTGACACGTTTGAAAAAGACTTGTACACAAATAATGATGACACATTTGAGGGCACAAGCTTTTAGGAAAAAGGACTGGTCGGTCCGAAACCCGATCTGCTTTTTTCCCCAGACCAGTCGGTTTGAATTAGCGCTTATTTCAGTATTCATTAAATTTTAAATATCTTCATGTTTCTAATGGCTAAACTCTAGTGCCTGTGGTCAAAACCGGCATATACTAAAATAACAGTAGAGGATTATGAATGTAAATATGTTTCTTAGAAATGTGAATATTATCTTCGACACAGATGCCTATAAAACAGACTTCAACGAGATCACAGACACAAGGGAGTTTCTTAACGAGGTTTTCCGCCAGATCTACGTTTGCCAAGTATCCGGACTGCAGTTTGCCGTCGACCTCACCGACTTCAAGAGCCTTCCCGGTATGTCCATGTTATCTAATGATATTACTCGCACAGGTTTATGTTTATGATGATTTTAAAAACAATATTAATTCATTCACTGTACCATAAATGTTCTGTTTACAAATAGTTTTCAACTCTGCAATAATCTGTAGCAAACCCACACATTTTCTAGCTCACTAAGCCAAAAGATGTTACGATCAAATTCTACAATTGTCCATTGCAGACGAAAAAGTGACGAAGCAATTGGCTGGACAGACGCTGGTTCTCCTGGAAGCCGCCGTAGTCGAGATGGCTCATCTTCTTAAATTTCAAGACAATTTTGTGGTCGGTGTTTTAAAAGGTATGTCGGATATTTTTGAATTTTAATATCGAATATCTCAATCAAACAATTTATTAGAGTCGTAAATGAAGTGGATTCAGTCATTAAGATGAATATTTTCATCAAGAAAAATTCAAATAGGTTTGAAATACAAAATAAAAAAGGAAAAATATTCGTTCAGACGTCAACATCTTTAAATCTTCCCAATTTCTTAGCCCAATGTTTCCGTTTGTTGTATCGACTCCTCAATAATTGTCGACATATTTATACTGGTAGAAGCTTATAGAGTACGGTCCAAACTGATTTTAGAAAGTATTTGTTTTTAGTATTCCCATACACATCCGTCATACGTATACATATAATTCATGTCTGTAGTTTTCTTCATTTTATTCGCGAACAGTTAGGTCTTTTAACTGATTATAATGTTCAAACTCACTTTTCCTCGATTTTAAAGTGATTCTGCGTTAATATTTGAGATGATACTTTTAAAATGGCATTGCTTTCGTAGATTAACTGATCCATTCGGGAATAATTCTGACAACTTTCCAAATTTTGAAAGATGATTGTTGATAATTAGTTCTCATATTGTCTCCTATGAAATACATACTCATTTCTCGATTTTCTTTTATTTTGCTGTATCTTCAGACTACGGCACAAGTACTCACAACGAATTGGTACATGATTTGATAGGACTCGAGCCATCTCCGTCACCATCCCCATCAAACCCACCTAATGGCTCAGTTGTAAAGAAAGGAAGAGGGGAAGGTAAATCTACTTCGCCTAAGCCACGTGGAGGAACCAGTCCATCGCCGAGTGACATAGAAGATAAGAACGATAAACGTGGTAGCAAAAAGGTAGGGAAGAACGGAGGGAAGAAAGGAGACACGGAAGGTAAACCAATTTCACCTAAGCCACCTCGAGGAACCAGTCAATCGCCGAACGACATAGAAGAAGAGGACAATGAAGAAAGAGGTCTGTTATTCCGCATTTTAAATATTCTCCGTGGTACCAAAAAGGCAGGGAAGAAAGGAGGGAAGAAAGGAGATACGGAAGGTAAACCAACTTCACCTAAGCCACCTCGAGGAACTAGTCCATCGCCGAGTGACGTAGATGATGAGGACGATAAACGTGGAAGCAGAAAGGCAGGGAAGAAAGGAGGGAGGAAAGGAGATATGGAAGGTAAACCAGCTTCACCTAAGCCACGTGGAGGAACTAGTCCATCGCCGAGTGACGTAGATGATGAGGACGATAAACGTGGAAGCAGAAAGGCAGGGAAGAAAGGAGGGAGGAAAGGAGATATGGAAGGTAAACCAGCTTCACCTAAGCCACCTCGAGGAACTAGTCCATCCCCGAGTGACATAGAAGATGAGGACGATAAACTTGGAAGCAAAAAGGCAGGGAAGAAAGGAGGGAAGAAAGGAGATATGGAAGGTAAACCAACTTCACCTAAGCCACCTCGAGGAACCAGTCAATCGCCGAGTGACATAGAAGATGAGGACCATGAAGAAAGAGGTTTGTTATTACGCATTTTAAATGTCCTCCGTGGTAGCAAAAAGGCAGGGAAGAAAGGAGGGAAGAAAGGAGATATGGAAGGTAAACCAGCTTCACCTAAGCCACCTCGAGGAACTAGTCCATCCCCGAGTGACATAAAAGATGAGGACGATAAACTTGGAAGCAAAAAGGCAGGGAAGAAAGGAGGGAAGAAAGGAGATATGAAAGGTAAACCTACTTCTCCTAAGCCACCTCGAGGAACTAGTCCATCGCCGAGTGACATAGAAGATGAGGACGAGGAAGACAAACGTGGAAGCAAAAGGGCGGGAAAGTCGTTAAAAATAGAAATCGATGGCTTTCTTGACAAAGTAAAATCACATATGAAAAGACGGTTCGGAAAAAACAAAGGGTAAAGTACATGGATGTAGTTCACTTAAAACATAACATAAATCAGTAGCATCAGGAAAAACCATGCAAAAATCTGTTTCTTTATTCTCATATATCATGATATATTTTTTCTGAGTATTTTTCATCATAGACATAGAATGTTGCTTTATACAGAGGTATCTTGAAATTTCTTCTCTTATTCTCATTAAAATATTGCAAGTTAATACAAATGGACTTCAATGTGTCATTTCTGTCATAACTGCAAGATAATTTTCTACATGGGTCGATAATTACAATGTTTATTGATATATTGGAATCAATACAGATTTGAGCGTTTTGAGCCTCATTAAGATTTAAAATGATCTAGATGGTTAGTTCGCTAGGTCAGGCAACTTGTTTTGGGATACGGACCACATATAAACACTTCTCGTCAAACAGACACGAATACAACCGATACACAGCTTAAATCTTGTATAGAGTAACTCGATACGTACATGTTGATTATGAAGCATGTAAGCATGTCTCATATCTGCATCATGATGTTATTTGATTATGAAAAAGTATTTAATTCCATAATGACTGTTTTCCTGAGATTGAAACATTATATACCCTTTAATAGATAGATACTGTATAAATCAGGTGAGGCGGGTAGCTGTATCTCTAAAAACGTAAAATTGAAAAGAAACGATTTTTGTCAGGAATAATATATATGTGCTGCCTTGATGTAATTGAAGCCTTCCTGTTTCAGTACTATTAGACAGTGGTGTCAAGAGATATCCCCGTGTGTATCTAGCACTGTTGCAGATGACCTCCCAATGTCTCTTCCCTATTTTTCATTATTCAGTTGGATATCAACTCTACTTGTTCGCTTCCTGACCATATCAGCCTATTTCGTTCTGCTCCTACCAGGTCCAGTAACCCCTACATCCTCCACAATAATAGATTAGCCCCAACCTTGATGTCAACAGTCGTCCACCAGTTGCTTGTACCTCTTCATATTATGTGCCTCCTCTATCATGTCCTCTCTTGCTACCGTTATTTCTACCATCAGGAGTTGCTTGCAGTTCCGGGCCACAGTGGCAGCGGCAGAAGCCTTCTCTGTTGGGAAACCCATATTGTGGTGAATATATGCCCTAATACCCCATTCTCATCACGCACATGTAAATTGAGCAAGAGCACCGCGAGCGGAAGCATGATACGCCCGTCAGACCCTCGGAATGGTATTGATATATTGACAGCAGGTAGTGACATATGATATAAATGTGTTTAATGCCATCGTTTTGTTGGTGACTGTGACCTTGCCATTCAATAAAAAATTCTTGCATTTTTGACGGAATGCCCTTATTTGGCAAAGAAAAAAAGGGGCATACCTCTGCCTAATAGCGTTTAAAATGTCACGATTTAAGAACTCATTCAAAGCATTCAGATAATGAAACAACTAATAGGTGATTCTAGAAAACAATTGACCCCTGTGATCTTGAATATAATTCAAGGTTATTCATGCTAGCGCTTCACCACAGCATACTACTGGCCAAATATTATAGCCCTGTGCATTTTGGTTATTCAGAAGTAGATGTTTAAATATTTGTTTAACATATTTGACCCATGTGAGCTTGAAAATGGGTGAAGGTCATTCATTTGAACAAACTTGGAAGCCCGTCATCCCAGCATGCTACTGACCAAATATCACCATTCTGATCCTTTTGGTTATTCAGAATACGTTGTTTCAAGGTTTTTTTAAGACAATTGACCCCTGTGACCTTGAATATGAGTGAAGTTCATTCACTTGAACAATCATCCCAGCATGTTACTGGCTAAATATCATCACCCTGGAGATTTTGGTTATTAAGAAGAAGTTGTTTTAATTAAATCATTGACGCCGGACGACGCATCACGTCATAAGCTCACTTGGCTCTTTGGGCCAGGTGAGCTTAAAAGTTCTTGCATTCACCACACAATGCCCTTATTTGGCAATGAAAGGTGCATAGCCTAGCAATGAAAAAGGGACAAAAATCTGTTGAATAGCATCTAAATATCACGATTTAAGAACAAATACCATGCATTCAGGTAATGAAACATCCTACTACCAAGTTTGAAAAACAAGCCATTCGGATTGATATGTCTCGCCTATGCCCCGCTTTGACAACATAAATGCAAAAACTTAATGTTGATGGAGATGCTGACAAAGTCAATGGACAATAAAAGGAAGACAACATCCAACTTTTGATGCATGGGCTGGGTTGTACTACCTAAGGTGCATCTATGGTCCAAGTTTGGATGGTGTAGCACTTATACTTTCAGAGACACTAACGTAAACGCAAACACTTAATGTTGATGGAGATGCTGACATAGTCAATGGACCATGAAAGGTAGGTCGCATCCAGCATTTGATGCATGGGCTGAGATGTACTTCCTAAGATGCATTAATGGTCCAAGTTTGGTTGGTGTAGCACTTATGCTTTCAGAGAAACTAACTTAAACACTAAAACTGAATGTTGTCGCCGCCGTCGTCGTCGGAAAGAATAATTGTTTGAGTTATCGCGTAAACAAGCAAACAGCGTTGCTATGTCAAGTGTGATATGTCAAAACGCAGAAAGTTGAAACTCCACAGAAAAACCTTGGTCACAAAAATCTTGCATTTACTACACAGTGCCATTGTTTGGCAATAAAAGGAGCATAACTCCACCAAACATGCACGAGATGCGAACTTGTTTGAGCTATATTGGTATGATATTTGTGAACCAAGTTTCATCAAGATATGTTCATGAATGAAGGCAGGAGAAGTTAACGGACGGACGGACAACCGTCATCGGACAACGCAGCCCATAAAATAATACGACCCGTCGGACGACGCACGTATAAAAAGTCAATGTCCCATTGATAAAGCCAGTGATAAGAACGTGAAAAACCGATGCTTTATTGACTGGCTAATGATACGAACATGAAATAAATCCCAGGGGCCCTTGATTTAGCTAATGATACTAGGGGGTGGGGGGTTGGACCCATGGCCCATTTATTTAGAATATGAAAAAAACCATGGCCAATTTATTGAAATAATGATACGAGCACATAAATACATGGCCCCTTTTAGCTACTGAAGCAGGTTGCAACTTGATTCAGGTACAGAAAATAACTTGTAAATTGTTTCCGAATGAATGGTAGCTATGCTTATATGCATGGGTCCTGTTTCGTGAATAAGTTTGGTCTAGTTAAACATTCTTTTCCCCCTTGGTATAACTAAAAGTACATGAACCTTCCGGTGATATTATGGTAAAAATAACATATTCATTCATCACTCTTGATTAGATTAGATACATACAATATATTTCCTTAAACAAGATACGTTTTATGAAGAAATGATAGCTTCGTAAACAAATCACTTGGTGCGTCTCCCTGGATAAATAATCATTAAATCACGGACAGCACTGTAGAAAATTAATCAAACTAAATCGCGCTGTCTAGGTTTGGCTTAAATATCTCTGTGCAGTCCGGCTTGAAGCAATAGTCATTATTTCAATAAACATATATGGGGAAAATGTATTCTTTAATCTGTAAGAAATATCATTTAGTTGGTATGCTGTGAGGATCGACATATGTAAATGTTGATAATAAATAGAGAGAAAACGTTTAATTACACAGGATGAGTATTTCCTTGGCTTTAAGGAAGCTCCACCCTTCCGCCATTAATCAGCGGGATTCGTTGTAACATTCACATAATGGTTATGCATCTACTATAGCAGGGATAAGATGGCTATCAAAATCGTTTCAATAAATGATGTTGACTTTCATTCCATGTCACAGAGGTCAAATATGTTTGAATCTTCAAAAGATTTCTCCTCCGTTCCTGAAGACCATGGGTCATTTTATTTGGCCAGTATAGACTAGGATAGAGAGATATCGTTAAGTAATTTACTTTTTTTCAAAGACCAAAAGGTTGAATGAGCTTAAATCTTTATTTAACTAAATGTTTTAATCATTTAAATTCTCTGAAAAATGCAGCAGGTTTGATCAAGAAGTGTGGCTATGAATCAAAATGGTATTAAAAAATATAATATATGATTGACAACCAAGGGATGGATAGTGCGAGATTTCACTGCGGTGAAAATTCACTCTATCTTTCAGCCAAGGTAACCTATACTGCAATAGGATAATGTAAATATTACTTATTTCTCTTCATCCCCCTGCGACCGGAAAATCCAGGCAGAATATATAGCCTTACACGCAATGACCTTTATCTAGTCATTTAAGGTTTCGATCCATAACAAATGACATCAGAAAGCAGGATAACATTGACAACCAAAGCACACACAATATTTGTTTTCTCTTCTGTAATCACACGTGACAGCTAAACAAGCACAATTCCCCGTGCTAGTTACATGCGTTACACTGGCACTTGACATAATAAGAATCTTAAAAGTAAAAACAAAATAGAAATCAAAGCTCTTATATACTTATATTTTCAATTTTAGCTTTAGCGAATCCTTTACACAAACTGCATATTGTAACATTTGATAAACCGAATACGCATCTTTCTGGCTGGTGGTACAACATCAAACTTCTGTCACCAATTAAACACTATGACAGAATTATATTTGGACAAGTTCGCCTCAATGTCAATGCTTCCTTTTGATACCTGTCATTCTACAGTGAAGTTACGAATGCTTCTTTTTGATACATTTCATTTTACAGTGAAGTTACGAATGCTCCCTTTCGATACATGTCATTCTACAGTGAAGTTACGAATGCCTTGTTTTGATACATGTCCTTCTACAGTGAAGTTACGAATGCTTCGTTTTATACATGTCTTTCTTCAGTGAAGTTACGAATGCTCCCTTTTGATACACTACAAAAATGCCTTCTGGACAAGCTGTAAGGAAGCCAAAACTAAAACTATTTCCTATTTCAAGTTTTGCTTTCTTGGTTTGGTATAAAATTATTCATATTAAGGGTCACAGATTTTACCTTGCCTGGAAATGAAAAGTCAATACATGCGTCTACAACCATACTATATGTATATACAGCATCATGTCATAAGTATTTGTGGTTTCCCGAAATTTGTTCTGAATTTCATGCATTTCTGCTGGGGCTAATTGAAGTACTATCGAAACAAAAATCCATATAACGACAGGTACATTTCTATATAATAATCTGAGAATCTGTTCATACAATTGTATTGACAAGTTTTCGAGGTATGACAGTTATCCAGATGACATAGATTTTACAATG